TTTCCCTACTGGATGCATATTGTTCAACCGTACACAACTACCCTGGACCACAGCAGATGTTGTAGGGTTAGCCTGACATCCCAGCTTTCTTGCAATCACTTAGAAATTCACTGAACTATGTGACATCACACTATAAGTATGTGAAAAAAAAGTCAGCTGTTTAATGTCTTGGGAGCAAATGTTTAACTGAGCATATAGACTGAAAAAAAATGAGGGCAGCTGAGGAACTGGAAATCAGCAAAATGTAAACCTCTAAGAGCTCAGCTATTACATTCACTCCGAAATCCAATGGTAATTAACTCAGAGAGTTCCTCTCATATTATAGGCAAGATATTTATTTCGTACCTCGGGAGATTATGCATTGAAAACCTGAGCAGCATTTCCATTTTGCCTTGAAATTTTACAGTGATGAGTTCTGCGCTATGTGCTTTCTAGCTGCTGTAATTCACTACACCTAACATCCTGAAGCAGTAATAGAAAAAAACCTTCTCAAACTGACACAGCCCAGATCTAAAGTATGAGATGCAAAGGTCCATCCAGATGCTGTGTCTGGGTTTAGTACATATGGTTTAAGCATAGCTCTGGAAAAGACAGATTTTTCAAGCAGCGGTGGCACAGTGCTGTGTAACAGGAAATCAGCTCCCCAATATAACGCGCACACAACAAGCACAACAGAGAGGAATATAGATTACACAGGGGGTTTTGGTTACAGATCCTGCACAGAACACATCAAGCAGTCTGATCACAGAGAAGAGTCACAGTGCAGATTGTATTGCTGGTAACAGGGGCTCTTTTCCACACAGCTATAGGCATCGTGTGCTCATGTGATGGCACAGGAGCAGAGGCAAGCCTTTCTGACTGGCAGCAGGCGAGAATCAGCCAGTTATATGTAATTGCATCTCCCAAGCACCTAGCAGCTGTCCTACATTACATACTAACTGTTTGGGGCAGAGCAAGGTTCCTTTGATCCATCATATCTCTACAGCTCTCAGGTGTCTGAGCTCACTGAAAAACCATCAGACAACACTCTGTGACAGATACCCAGCTTGGCCCTTTGCTGTTGAGTTTTCTGTGCGGTTGTGCATTTTGTGCCTGTTTCATCCTTCTTCTCCAACCGAATCCTCCACGGGTGACGCAGGCGTCTCTATCTGCATGGCCAGAAAGGGTTTCAGCCTTTGCTAGGGTATGTCTTTCCCACAGAGGACTTATCTTGGTTGACCAAGAAAATACACTGTTAATTTGCCAGATAAGTGGAAGCTGGGATGTTGTTAGCACCAGTAAACATTGATTAATGAGGTTAATTCACCACGATACTGGGATTCACACAAATAAACTTATGCAAACTCCCAATCCAGCTCCACAGCACCCAGCGGCTCCCATGCAGCAGCTTCCGGGGGGGGGGGGGGGAGCAACACCACCACCCAAAGATAGAAAGATTCTCAACCTTTGAATGCCTTTATCTGCAAGACTCTTAAGAGTTGCAACAACTGCTGAGAAAAGATAAGGGTCTTACATAGCCTACACAAATAACCCAGCTGGATGATCTCTGTGAATAATGGCACACTTCCCTTTTTCATTCTGCAGCAACTTTTGCCAAGATTGGCCAGACCATAATTCTTGAGCCACACAGCCCCCTTCCAAACGTTGTTTCCACTCCCTAGCTACAAAATGGAAGTGGTAAGGGAGCTGTGCTGGCCCGAGGACTGCCAGCTCAAGGCAGAAGCAAGAGACAAGAGATGGCAGGCTCAGCGACAGCTCCACAGAGCCCAGCTAAGCCCTCTCCTCAAGTGAGGCAATGAGACAATTGGAGCAACACCAAGACCCTGCGAACACTCTAGGGCTCCCCTCCTTTCAGCTTGCGAAGCTGCACCATCCACTTTACAGGTGCTCTCATAGAAGGGTTTTGTTACAAAGCTCCTGAGGTCGGGGAAGATTCTGTGCCCAAAATCCCGCAGATGAAGAGGTGCAAAGGGCTCTATACGCTTGCAAGCCCCAGAGGACTCAAGGAGAAAAGGAGATAGCCTATACTTTAGGAGTTGACAGGGTGGAGGGAGGCCTTTGGAAATATCCTGCTTCTCCTCCATCCCGGCCCCTCCATACAACAACAAGGTGACAAGAAATAAACCCCCAGAAGTGAAACCTCAAGCTGTTGTGAAACCACAGATGAAGAGCTGGTAACTCCAAGTTCCTGTTTACTTAGGTTCAATACAGCTAATACTGAATAAAAGGCTGTAACAAAACCAGAACAAGATATCCTCATTTCCTTCCTCCTCACCTCCAACTTCCTTTTCCCCCCGGCAGCGAGAATTGCTTATGTGGTAACAGAGAAAATAACTGGAATTTATTAGAAATGAGAAAAAAAAATCATCTGTATTTGCTCCAGGTGAAACTAAAGCAATGGGCAGTGGAATAACGAGCGGGGAGGACGAAAAGGGCACAAGGCACGGCCAGCGGGGCGCGTTCGCACGGCTCAGTGCCTGCCCTCGGCCGCTCACGCTTCCACAACCCCTCAGCCCTGTGCGGGGCGAGACCTTCACCCTGCCCAAACCCTCCT